AAAACTAAAATAACATAATAATATAATAACGATATCACCATTTCTATCCAATATTATTCATCGATTTTAATATTTTAAATATATTTATTAAAGTTAGTATTTTAATATTTTAATTACAATTATTAAAGTTAGTATATAATATTAAATTTTATATGAATATTGCATTCATATATTAATGAATATTATCATATTTTACAACAATTAAAAATGATATAGGGACTAGAAATAACATTGTTCAGCATTTCTATTGTATAGGATTTGAAATTATTCAGGAAATAATTAATTTTGATCTTTTCAAAATTATAGTGATTTATCATAAAATATTAATTTACTTTTATTCATAAAAATAGTTTAATTCAATTCATTTCTCTTGGTTAATATTACTACAATAAAATGTCTTTATTAAAATATCTTTCTTCTAAATTTCATTACCTCCAATTTTATTATTACTTTGTTCATCACTTTCATTTATTTATTGATTTAAAATATTTAAAACATTTTTAATAATTGTTTGTTTAAAAATATTAACATAATTTATAGTGAGGTATTTATTATTAAAATTTAATTTTATGTATTGAAGTGATTATGAGTTATGAACATACAAGATGTTAAAAAGTTTAACATGACTTCTAGAACATTATTAGAAAACATCATTTAATTATTGATATTCATAAGCATTGTTTTTCATTAAAATAAACTTAAAATAGTTTCAAATAAATAGTTAAAACAACAAATTAAAATATTAAAAAATTAGAATTTGCCTATTACTTCTTTTTTAAATATTTTTATCACAGTTTTTTATTTCTTTTGAATTGAAAAAGATATTTAAAAATTAAAAAAGTCTATAACTATTTTTAAGGGTTTTAATGATGTTAAATCTTTTTAAAATTTTTTAGTTAGAAAAAATATGGATAGTAGCACAAAAAAACTTTTACATTGTATCTTTGAAGTTATTGTCTCATCTATTGAATGTAAGAACCAAGAAGTTCTTATAGACTTAGTCAAAACCGCAATAGAAAACGATGTTAATATTTCACAATTAATAGAAAATAACAAATTTTTATTTAAAGAACCTGAACAAAAAAGTTATCGTATTGATGATGACTTTTATGGTTATGTAACTTGGATTAATTGCTTAACAAGAGAAAATTTTATAGAAATTGTTATTCAAAATTTCAACGATGATCAATTTATTCAACTTATAAAGGAAATGATAGAAAAAGATTTATTAGAAAATGACAAAAAGAAAATTGCAAAAAAATTTGTTTATAAGGAAAATTCTTATTATCACTTCATTAACTCTTCATTAAATTCTCAATTAACAAATGGAATGATTATACCAGACTATTTAGATTTTAAAAACAGTATAGAAGAAGAGCTTATGAAGAATAAATTCGTTGAAGATAGAGCAGAATCTAATTTAAAATCAAATGGTCAACTAATAAATAAAAAAATCTATAACTCAATGTTAAATGATTATATAAATGAGAAAGTTGATAAACACAAAAAAATGATTGAAGAGCATCTCAGTTGTGGTGAATTATCTGTATCATTCGATAGTGAACAATTAGATCAAAACAAGTTAGATAAAATTATTCTTCCTCAAGTAGAACAACAAACAGTTGTTACTCTAGTCAGTGATGAAGGAAAATTAATTTCTATTTATTCTAAAAAATCAAATATATCTTTTGCACATCCTCCGAAAAATAATACAATGTTACTTTTTAATGAAAATGGTATTTGGAAAGAATGTAACAAAAGTTCATTCCTTTTTATCAATAATAATCAAATTAACTTTTGTGACAGAACATCAAATTCTCTTATTGAGTTAAATGATACAACAATCAATACAGAATTTAAAGGTGAGATTTTGGACTTTATTGGAGAAAGTAAATGGAATACTATACGAATTATAATTTATAATAAGTCTCTTAAAACTAGTACTGTAAATAATATTGATAAAATACCTATGCCTGTACCTTCAAACAATAAAGTATTAAAAATTGTTCTTGAAAACAGGTTTAAAGTAACTAATATTAGAAATGATTATAAAATAATTAAAGAGTTGTATAACATTAAATCACCGAATCTTCGACTTGATTTTTATGTTCAAACTGAGAATAACATCGTTGGGCTTTGTGCTAATGAAAATACAATATCCTTCTTTGAATATGACCTAAATGAAATTGACAAACAAAATGCTCAAAACTATTCAAAAAATTCTATTACTCGTTATTTCCAAAAAACGTCATATAATAACTTTGCAATAACTCCTCCTGACCCAGTTATATCATTTGACACACCAGGATTTATTTTGATTACTCCACTTTTTTCAATATCTAATCAATTGATCATCACTAAATATCCATTCAACTCGAAACTTTATTCTCCAATGTTCCAAAGTAATTCTTTTTTCATTAGAGAACCAATTTCACAAAAAGTAATAGACATAGCTTATCGAGTGACAGACAACCAATAAAATTAAATAATTTATTTTATTTTTAATGTTTTACGTGAGACTTATTCAATTGAAGTTATGAAATTGATAAATAACTAACTAACTAACTTTGTCAAATGCAATGAACTATACTTAATAAAAATCAATAAATCTTTTTTTTATTTTCTTATTACAACATTCTTTAGTTTTTTTAAATGTAGTAAAAGATATTATAATAATAAAAATTATTTCATATCATCAATTACTTGTTATAATGAAATGTAATTAAACAAATTTTTGATGTTATGCAATGAAGTGGATGTTGTAAAATTATATTTTGCATTTCTTTATATCATTTCCTGAATATAAAATTTATTACTTCTTCACTTCAATATGTATTTCGATCAATTTGTATCTTTTTTTAATTATTCTGTGAATAATAATAATAATAATATATGTAGCAGATATTATTTTCTTTGTATAATACTTCAATTATTTTTCATTTTTCATTATTTGGTATATCAATTTTTCTGAATTAAGTTATTAATGTAATTCTTGTAATTACTATTTAGATATAATTGTTACATTTGACACTTATTCAACATTAAACTAATACACCAGTTTATGTATTCTTTATATGTTTGATATTTCTCTTGATTTTATTCATTTCTTATATTATCACTTTTTTCTCTTATAATTTCTTTTATCTTCTTCTTTCTCTTTTAGTCTTTCTTTTCTTTATTCTTTATGGATATTCATTTCTTATTTCTATTACTCTCTTTATTCTTGGATCAATGTTCCACTTTGTTATTTTTATCTATTATCCATTTCAATTAGAGACTTATTATATGATTCGTGTTATAAAATCATTGTTTATTATCTGTATCATTATTATTACAATTATTTTTGTTATTTATGATTTCTTTAATTCAATTATTTATTATACTATTTGTTTGGTTTTCTTTGCTTCCTTTATTTCATATTTCTATACATAGTTATTTATAGTGATTATTATTTAATCATATGTTATTTTTTCTCCTGCTATATTCTCATATATCATTATGCATTATTTCTTCATCTATTATCTTTTTATTGGATTGAATTATCTTTTTATTATGTTATTTGAATTTCATATCTTCTGGCTTTCTTTTAGTGTCAATCCATCATTACAAACTAAATGACTTATTTATATTTTCTATATTCATATTCTTTTGTTAATTATTTATATTGATTTTAAATTGTTTACATTAAATGTATTGAAGTAGAGTCATGAAATAATATAAATATGATAGAACGCATAATTGAAAAGAAAAATAAACATAAAATATGTTTTCAACTAATGTTTTATTTTAAAAATTTTAGAGAATAAATTTTTAATATTCAAAAGGTATTGAAAATATAACTCGCCTTAACTAATGAACTGATGATTTATTAATACATACGAATGAAAGAAATAAAATGAAAATCAATTAAAAACATGAATTGAATATCATAACTATCAAGAATAAAACTAATCAAAGAACAAAAATTAGTTGATTGAAAATGTTAGTAAGAAGAAAAATATTTGAGTGTTTGTAAGAAAGAAAAAAATATTCAAAAGAATAAAAATGTATAGCATACTTCTATAATATTAAAATATTTTACGTTGAAATGAATAACAAACAAAGAATGTGAAATGTTATTATTAAACAAGTTATTTATAAAAAAAATTAAAAAATAATACAATAATTATTTGGTACATACAGTCTGGTTTTTTGATAAATAAAAGTTTTATTTAAAGAAAATGAAATACAGGAAGAAGAAGAAGAAATAGGAAAATAAGTTAGTTATTAAAACTAAAAAATAACCCAATCTTGTTAATGAAAAGAGAATAAAAAATCTAAAAACATCCAATGTTTCTAAATAAAAATTTGATGATCTGGTTAATTCTACAAAAAAAAATGAACCAAAAAAGAAAAATAGAAATGAATAGAATTAGAACAGTATAAAATCAGGAAAATAAAAATAAAAAATTCAAAAAAAAAGAATGAAACAGCCTGTCGATAGTAAAAATTACTATCAATCTTCTCTTCATTTTATAAAAAGAAATCTTTTTATTTAATAAATTACAATGCAAGATTTGGTTGTTTGATTCTTTATATTAATTTTATTCTAAAAGATTTACATAATAGTTTGAATTTCCTGCTGTTAATACTTATTTAGATTCTTTTTCTTCTCTAACTGCTGGATGTATTTCCTTTTTTACAGAAAAAGCATCAATTGAAACAGAATATGGATCTCGATTATTAAACTTAACTAAAGTGCCTTTAAAAAGAGTATTTCAACGTTATAATCCAAAAGATAATATGTCTTCGTTTGTTTTATTATTTTTATTAAGTTATTTTAAAATAAGCAATAAATATTGCCAGATTTATTTCATTCACTAACTAATATTTAGAACTATGAAAGAGTTTATTGACAAATTTATTTCTCAGAATAAAATTATGGCTGAGTGTCATTTAAATGCTGCACAATTTATAGAAAAGAATATTGTCCAAGCCACTAAAACTAGTGCCCAACAATTAGAAACTAAAATGAGTGTAATTACAAATGAAATTAATAGAAGAATTAAACAACATAATGACATGGTTAGTACTGTTGAAAGAATTAAAGAAAACAAAGAAAAAGCATTAAACCAATTAAAAAAGCTTAAAGAAGAAAAAAAAGGAAAAAGTGGAAAAACTTACCAAAAGATGAATTGTAAACAAGACCAAATAGTTGAAGACATTAAAAAATATAATACTAATCTAAAGAATTGTGTTATAATTACTAATAAAATTAGAGAAAATGTTTATGGTAAAGAAATGAAATGTATGTTAAATCAAATTGAAGGTATTGCATCAGAATGGAATGAATTGTTGATTAATATGTTTACTTTAGGAAATGATCTTGATATTGAAATATTAAAAAATACAAGTAAATATTGTCTTAAAATTCAGCAGTCAATTCAAAAAATAAATTGGACTAATGATATTGAAGAATTTGTAAATAAATGGAAAAATGTTCATTCTGTTAATGACATTATACTTACTTCAAATGACCTTGCTTTAGATGATCATATCCTTTGTGATGAATCTACATTAGAAATGATTCATAATAATGGATCAAGTGGTACTCAAACAAAAGAATGCCCCTCAAACTATTTACAAGTCACTCTCTCAGAGTAAATAAATTGAAATGTTCAGAATAATAGAAATAAAAAACATTCAATTCAATTTGTTTTTGTTAGAAAAGTTATATAAAATATTTCAAAAATTAAAAAGAAAATAAGCAACTTCAATTATTTTGTAGAAAAGATATTTTTAAATATTTTTTTCTTTATTTTTTAAAAGAATGTGTTGCAAAGAGTTTTTTTTTATTGTTCAATGAAAAGTGTTCATTGGATTTATTACCTTTTATCTCTTTTTTTCTTAGTAATAAAAAAAAATATATTAACAGTAAAATATAATACCCTTTATATTGACTCTAATCAATGTCTTTTTTCGTATCATTCCTATTTAATATAAGAAACAAAATAAAAAATAATAGTACTATTTTCTTTGTGGCTTATTTCTTTTGAAATTCTATTTTAATAATACATGTCGTTTTATTCTTATCAAAATAAAGAAGTAATACCACTTTTATTAATAAAGTGAACTAAATCAATTAAGATTCTATAAGAAGGACATAACTTTTTCTTCTACTTACTATTCTTTAAAGTTTCACTTAGTATTGATTCGTTGTAATTTAATATGTTAAGTTTTGGTAATAATTTACAAATTTTATTTATCTCCTTTTAACGATACATTTTTTTATAATTAATAGTAAATTATATTAATTTTACTGGTTTTTCTTAAATAACAAAAAAATTCTTTTTTAACATCTTCAACATATTATTTAAAACATTAAAATAGATATAAAATAAACGCTATACTTTTTTAATCTTATTAATTACTACAATTATCTCACAACAAAATAACAAGATGCTTCAATGAATTTTTCAATAAATTAATGAATAAATATTCTTAAACTCAGAAAAAGATAATTTATTTAAGAAAAATAACTTAAACTATTGAAATAAATTATAAATTATCATAATAGAAATACTAAAAAACAAAAAAGAACAATTTTATACAATAAAATAAAAAAGAAACTTATTATGTAATTTATTTTTTAAACTCAGACAAATTATTAAAATAAAAAGTAATTAATTAAGTA